CCACCTGAAATTGGGGTGCATCGCCCATAAGCACGCGTCAATATATACCAGAAAGGACACAGAAGCGACCCTGGTAGGTTCTTGAGTTGGATTCCTTTTCAAAGCTGGTCAGCTCCCGTCAGCCACCATCGTCCAATTCCCAGGAGCTGATGGCTGCTGAGAAGTTCACCATGGACCTCCACCAGGATCGGAATTGAGAAACAACACCCAGATGCTCCATGTATGGCATATTTACCTACAGACAGGGGTGGTGCCAGGGGGGTCAATGTATACATGGAGTGTCTGGGAAAGCTTTTGAAAGGTGAAAGCCACGGTGAAGCGAGGGTCTCCGGTTTCCGGAGAACCGAGGAAGGGCGAACCGGCACGGAGGTAGGGGATTGATGTGGATGGTGCACCCATCAGACGCAGTGGAAAGGGCAGTGGAAAGGGCCTTCTCTTGTTCAACATCCCCATGTTTCATGAATGAATGACCAAGCCCCTGTGACTCACTATGGAACTAGATGGCATGGCCACTTGGAAGACTATACTGTCCTATACTTTCCTAACTTCCACCCCTCATGTGTTCGTCCTTCCGTGTACCTGACCTCCCAGGAGTGCGATTGGCTCCTCAAGAACTTCGACCTGCGCGCAGAAGCCCGAACGGAGGCTCCGGACGAACAAGGGCTTCGATTGCGGTTCCCGTGGTGAAAAGACGTGGTTTGTTCCCAGGGTTTGGTCCGAACTGACCTGTAACAGTCACTATTTGAGAGAGAGAGGCCTGCAACTGAACCATCATCATCCATCCACGGAAACCTGGAAATAGGATAGAATTGATTCCGGATTTTCGGTTTGTGTTTTTCGCGAGAGGGAATGGTTTGAACACCCCGACATAAGCTGAACCTGTTGAGCTGTCATTGGTTTCGGTGTTGTCTTTCTTCCGACATCACACTGCGACTGCCGAAGCAAAAAAACGGGGAACGGCGTACTCTTCCAGTCTTCGACTCACTTCTTTATGACTGGAGTCGTCCTGCGGGATCAGACCTGGCGTGGATGAAATGCCAGATGTCACGGTCAGATCAACCATTTCACACACACATCTACAGTCAGTCATCAGATCAGATGTCACGTCGTCTGGTCAACTCATTGCAAATCAAGTCTTTCAGTTCTTTCTTGATTCGAAAGCTGAGAAGCTTTGCACAAACGGGTCAATTCCAGCAAACCAGTCATGGCCATACTTGATTGAAGCAGGTTTTGCTAGAGGCCTTCAGGAACGATTGTGGTGACGTCTCCCACTCAAATCAAGCGTGGAACCGGGGAACCCAGGGACCTCAACGAGGCTTGGAGACCGCATGCTTCACCCATCATGTTATCTCGCCAGGAGAAGGAGAACCTGATCCGTGCCAAGACCGTGCTGGCCGGGATGTAAGAACCACTTCCGACGAACCTACGCAAGTCTTGAGACCCAAAAAGCAAGCGTCCCGCGGAGTCTCGCTGCGGTGCGCAACAAAATCGCTGGCCGAGTCGGGCACTGTGAACACTGATTCTCACTGCTGTGTGGGACAGTTCGAAGCTTGGCTTGGAATACAAAGGTGAATCTACTACAAACGACCATTGGTTGATGGTTGTGGGTGGAAAAGCTTTGCGTTGCTGCTCCTTTGCAACGACTCAGAAAGATCATTCTTGTGTTCACAAGTCGCGGAATGTTTGCTTGAGGCTGCTGCCCAACATAATTGAAATGGAAGTGCCAACCATTCAGCCATTTTTAGGGTATAAGCAGATTACAAGCCGCGAAAGTGAAGATCTTTCTTCCTCCGGTTTTGAGAAGTACCACAGACCGTCACAGACCCCAGAACTTTGCATCGAAACCAACTTCGATCGACTCCTCCTTTTGATCGACCACTGAAGCCTTCGCGCTGCGTCGATCGGCCGAGAGGAATGGCGGAACCGCCCAGGGTCACGAAAAAGCCATGGCCCTGCAAGTGATCGGTCAGGGTGATCGGTCAGGATGATACAGTACAGACAGGAATCCATGTAGGATACAACAGCCAAGCAACACATATCAAAGAAGCATAAAGAAGCACTAGGAATTTCAACAATCACATAGAAGAAACATGAACACCATTTGATAGACATAGATTGCTTGGCCCAAACAAAAACAACAGCGTTCCACACTTCCACGTGCACAACAGCCTTCGCCATCCTGGCATCCGTTATTTTCTTTGCCTTGCCACGCTTCCTTCGCAAAGCTCGCCAGGTACACTGCCGGGCGCTGTGTGGTGAACACCTGGACCAAGGAGGAGCCCCCAGGCGCTGCTCGCCATGCGCTCGATGCGCGATGCGTTGAACGCTCCGGGTCGATCGCTCCAGCGTGGATGGGGGGGTGGAGCTAGGTATACGGTATGCATGGCATTGTTGCGTCACAAGTATATATATATATATATAATCCAGACGCCTAAGATAGAAGAAATTAGTTGTGAAAATCTTCTATTTGAAAGCGTGCCCGGTTTTGAACACCCGACCGGTTCAAATAGAAGATGGCCCACAAGCCCGGGCAAAACAAATAGAAGATATTATTTGGGACAGCCGCGGCTATTTCCATCTCCCTCTCCTCTCCTCTCCCCTCCCCCCCCCCCCCCCCCCCCCCCCTTCGCCCCTCCCCCCCCCCCCCTCTCCCCTCTCCCCTCTCCCCTCTCCCCTCTCTCCTCTCGCCTCTCCTCTCGCCTCTCCTCTCTTCTCTCCTTTACTGAGTAGTTTTCACAGAAGATTGGACTGGCCAGGGCTGCCGTTGTCAATTTCTTCTAATTGAAACCTCTCTGCTGAGCAGTATCTTCTATTTGAAGTGCCCGAAATCGTAAAAATCGGTCTGCGGAGATTCTCTGGACGTTGTCAGTTTCTTCTATTTGAAACCATGGCCCAACTTCCCCAAAATGACTGCCTTCTATTTGAAAATATTGTTTCTTATCTTCTATCTATAAATAGGATGGACGATAATGGATAGGTTTTTGGATGGTAGGTTTTTGGAGTACTGGAAGGCCCCGGGTATTTTGCCGAAAAGAAGGAAACACATGTGAGCGCATGTGAGCATGTTGGTGGAGCAGAGCAACGGCCCAACCAGCATGACAACACAATGACAATAATACACATATATATAGATATTACATATTAATCATAATATATGTACTAGTATAATTAGTCACTATAGTCGATACATACATTATCATACATATACTGTAACTTCTTGTAGCCCAACCAGTTGACCGTCCACTACCCCACTGGTATATATTAAAACCAACAACAACAATCAGTCAATCAGTCATTCCTCAGTTGCCCTTTGGCGTGTAAAGTCGTTTCAGTATGTGTTTGAGCGCATGCTGGTCTTGTCCGAGCCAGGGGAAGAACCGCTTGTGGTGAGCGTTGTGAACCGGACCATTGCTTTCCGTGTGACACAACGACCGCTGTGCCAAGAACAGCAAGCGAGTGAAAGGACCAAAAACCAACGAACACATCCTTGATTTGCAGGTCTTGCAGTCAGCCAATGTCTTCAGAGATGCGAACAAGAAGAAGGTCGGGGCCGGGCTTTTTTTGGGTGGCCTTGCTCGGTGAACTGTGCTTTGCTTGGTGAACTGTACATGGTAATTGTATATGAGACATGATGGCGGATGATGGCCTCGCTTTGATATCTCCGCCGTTAAGAAGAGTGATCGACTGGTCAGGACCAACGTTGAGCGACCTGGTTTTTGCATTGGTCGCTTGGTGTTTCACCTGGGTTTTGGTTGATGGTTCATGATCCTTTTGACAGCGCTGCGACGCACATTGTCCCACCCGCAGTTCCAGGTTGCCTTGGTGTCATCTATGGGCAGGCGCGCTGGAAACATGACTGTTCATGGACATGTCGTTTTTGCCAACCGTAACCAAGGTATGGTTTCTCCATGAATGCTTCAATCTTCCAATGAAGTCAGAGCAAGATCAGCTAGGAAAACTGGCAGACCGCTTTCACCCCAGTTCCAGTTATATACCGATATCGATGGTCACAACTGGGCCGATGGTTGGGCACATGAGGATGGGGTCCTTGACCGCGGTATTCAAGGAAACTTTCTGAAATGGCCGGATGTGACATGTTCAAGGGCTGAGGCTTGACACATAGGTGACGCCTTCTCTTTTTGAACGCTTCCGGAACATACACTCCTCTCAAACCTGGTCCGCGGGAGAGTCTCGAGCACCCCACACATCGGTTTGGGGCGGTTTGGGGCGAGTCTCGAGCGCCCAACAGCAGGCAAGATGGATCCAGAGGGTCTATTTGGACTAATGGGACAGCTTGGAGTAAGGGTCTATTCACTAAAGGTCTTTTTGGATCCAAAGGGCCTCGAGCTTGATTCGATCCCAAAACCCTTCCCAGACACGACCCTCTCTGGGACTGGCATATTGACCGAGAACGGCCAGGCGTGCAGGGGGCTCTGTTTGGGGCGGCAGTTTGATGGCAGTTCCCACTGGTCGTGTCTGGGAAGCAAAACTGTTTGCTTTCAGCACGAACCCGTCGGGAGCTTCCCGATTCCCGGACCCTCAGGACCCTTCGGACCCACCGACCCTGCACCCGCCGGATGCGCGCGAGGTGGAAGGCCCACGTCGTGTGGAGCTGCGCTGTTTCTTGGCTGGGGCGCGGAAACCTGGACAGACACACAGACAGACCGAGACGGATGGGATACGAGCCGAGTGGTCCCCTTTTGGTTCAGATTGATCAGATGAAAGCGCCCCACATGAAAGCTGCTACACACACGACACCAATGCAGGGACTCCTGAGTGACATGATTTGGAGGGACGTCCAAAACGGGGATGAACGGCAGATGAGCGGTCCAGTGAGCGCCCGGGGCATGACGGTCATGGCTCGAGTGTGAGCCATTCTCCACCTGGTCGAAGGAGCAGGCGAACAGTGACCTTCGACAGTCACATGGAGTTGGGTGGTGCTTAGTGCTTAGTGGTCCCATCCGATGTGATGGCGGCACCTCCATGGATAGCAGCCGAAAAACATGAAACTGCTGGTCTATAGAGGTTTTTCAGAGACATGTCAGCATGTGACATAATGTGGGCCAGCCACCTTCCGTTGGAACACAGTCGTGAAAACCGCAAACTGTCTTCCTTTTGACCCTTCTCTACTGCTCTTTCATGGTAGACGAGGTCGGCGAGGATGACGTGCTGATGGAGTGCGCCGGATTTGGGGCCCAAGGGCTGCGGGTCAGCGTGGGTAGTGGGAATTTTTGGGTACGCATTCTTGGAGGACTTGTAGGAAGTCATAAGGGGAAATGGAAGAAGCGGGTTAAACGGGATGTGCAGAAAAGCCCAAGAACCAACCCTTCTAGAAGATTCTAGAAGCATTTCTGGATTGATTCCGGCTTTTCTTTGCTACCTAGCTCGCTAGTGACATGGAATCTTGCAGTGGAGACAGTAAGAAAGGGGACCGGCACTGCCCTGGTCCAACAACAAAGAGGAGCGGTATCTTTTGGAGTTTGAATAGATGAAATATGGTGAAACCTTTTCGCTGCACACTATCACTTGAGGCATTTTGACACTGGTTTGTAAGGATGTGGAGGATTGAGGCGACAATGAATGATGATGCATGTATATACATTGTTTTATATTGTTATATACATTCAAATGTATTTAACTGTTCCTTTTTCCAGGGCTCTATTGGGAGGTTCCCTTCTTCTGAAACACTTGGTTTGTTCTTGTTTGTTGCCACGGGCCACGATGTCTCCGCGCATGCCCAGATCAGATAGATCAGATGGCTTCAGGAAACATCAGGAAACGAGAAGCATGAAGAAGTCGAGGGCGGATTTCTTGTAAGACCGCAATTGAACATCATTGAACCCTTTGCACCTCGGGTACCCCACTCCAAGGGTGGTGATTCTTTGCCATGCTGAAAAGATGTGCCTGCATGGTGGAAAGCACTTAAGCAGTGTCCAGCGATCTACTTTGTCTCCCAATCCTTAGGACACTGGAAAGAGTCAATTATTTATCCCCTGAGCAGACAGACACTGATGGTCAAACTGGACGGAGGACAGCTACATTTTACATGTTGCATCATGTGCTTTCCAAGGAAAGGGCCGAGGGCGCCCATGTAGAGAATTAGACAAGGTTCTTCTCATGAGAACTCCAGTCCGCAGACCTGGACGCTCTTTGAGTGGCAGACCTACACGGCGGTGTCCCGTCGCCCCCGGCCGAACCCCCGCTTCCCCGCGACGTCCCGAAGATGGCGCAGCCTGGAGGCCGAAGAGGCGGCGTTTCTCCGAACGGGTGATTGGAAGGGAGGTCTCAAGCATCAGAAGGAAGGATTTTCCACAGATCAGTACCATACAGTACCTGGCGTCCACGAATTTTCATGTTTCACCCTCCAATCTGGGTCCAGCAGGACCATGGCCTGTGTGGCAGAATCGCGATCTGGTGCGGATCCCTCGGGGACGGAGAAAGACGGCTGCGGAGATCGCCGCCTTGGACCGCGCCAGGCGTGGAGGTTGGGTGTAGAGATCCCCTTGAGAATATCCACTACAGAATGAATGGCCATGTGGCCAGTAGAATTCTGGATTTTAGTGAATTCCATTCGTCTCCATGGTAAAAATGAAGGGGGAGAGTTTGTAGCAATCTGATGAAGGTCCTCCAAACTTGCTGGAGCAGGGGTCACCCAGAGAAAGGGGATTCTGTTCTCAAGTTGAGGGACAAGGAAGACCCTGGCGACATCCTAGAAATGTGATATAATTGGATCACAGTGTTTATTCGGAAACGGATTAGACTGATTAGACCAGAGGCCCCAAAACCTTGGGATTGGTACCTCCAAGCTCTCTCAGTCTGTTTCGGATTGGTGGTGCATTGCGGTGCTTGTGAGCTAGGAATTGTTTGGTTTTCATGAGCGGTGTTTTGACGACTACCAGATGCGATCACGGTCACTTTTAAGATGGTGCATCCACGGTCGAGCTGGGGGGATTCTATCATATTCCAAAGGCACTGGAAGTGGATGTGGCAGGTGGCTACGCGGCTAAGTTAGGAGCTGGGGGAGGGTTGACCTTCCATGATTTTGCTAGTGCCTTTCCCAAACATCATCATCCCTTTGTGCAGGGAAGGGCAAGACTTGAGACAAAGTCAACGATGCAAGCAGAGACTACTGTATACAAAATCTTGCATTGCTCCAACCGAGGTCCCAATCCCTGGAATCCAAGATGAAAGTCTTTCCGAGGAGCGCCAGTACACACGCGCGCCAGAGGTCTTGGGTGCAAAAACGGAGCCTCCTGAAACCTTCAGCACAATGCGAGAACGAGCATTTTTTGCATCATGTGGTATCCGGAGATCCGCATAGCCTGCACCAGCTTTGCAAGGGATCATGGCTTCAGAGAGGTTAGGAAGGTGCCAGATTAGTCAGTCAATCTAACCTCCTGAAGACTATATAGGTGGCAAATCCAATGTGAGCGGCTGATCATTCAAGAATCCAGTGGTTGGTCACCTTGTCCACTAGTCATAGCTTTCTGAAACGCAGTCACCTCCCGACACTGCCAACCTTCAGGATCCACCTGTCGCAGGTTTCACACACACACAACGCCGCACCGCCGGACGCAGGATTCCAGCACGGAAGGTAGCTCCAGCAGCTCCAGCTCCAGTCGCCGCAGGAACCAAACCGCCGGGGGGTCCAAGGAAAAAGGTTGATGGGGAAGAAGTTGGCAAGCGACTGCGTTTTGGATGGTGTATCATGAATGATCTTAGAATTGGTCGTTTCGCTTCGCAAGAGTAGGACGTTTCTAGACAGCAGGTGATAGCTGGTAGCTGTTTGTCCAGATCCCTGTGGGCGACATACTCAGCAAACTATACATCCAAAGGGATGAAGAATCTCAACCCATTTGATTTTTGGATTTTTGATAGGAAAAGACATGAACAGGACCATGTTTTGGCTCCAAAACAGGGGTCACCCAGCTTCTAATCTTAGGTGTATATATATATATATATACGGTGTATGCAGTATCATACAGTACACATATAATATATACAACATTATACAACATACACTCACTGACTCACTTACGATGCCTGCCTCCCGCGGCGCCTCCCGCGGCACCACCAGTTGGCACCCAAGGCCAAGAAACGCGTCCGCAAGTGGCGCCTGAAATTCGCGGTGACCAAGCGTTTGAAGATCCTTGGAGGGGACCACGCGACGTCCGACGGTACCGGCGATGGGAAGACGCAGTGGCCATCGGGGCCGACGCTCTGGTGAATGTGGAGCAATTGATGTAGTCAGTGCAGCTGGCTTGGGTTGTTGTTTGGTTTTGGGTGAAAGATGGCAAAAGATGTTCAAGAGGATCTACTTTCAAGTTCCAACCCTGTTTGTTCAGATGAAACCAAAGATGGGCGAGAAGCATAACTTGGCTTCACAAGACAGGTGGAGACTGGACACGACGGGTGGAGGCTAAGTTTTGCACAACCAGTAGTTCATAGTAGTTCGATGTGAATCGGTATGGAGTGAGAGCCTGACTGGATGCCGCAGACCCCATAGAACAAAGAATATTAATTTGAGTGTCATTTGAACAGAAACGAGCTGCTTCATGCGGCGTTTGCAAATTTGGCCAAATGGTAACCGTCTTAAGAACAAAGTTTCGAACACAATCGAGGTTGGTTGAACTCAGAGCATTTTCTAGCAAGGCCCAGCCTGTATTGTTTGGAGATGCTGACCTGAGCTGTCGTGTTGTCCCATTTCTGCCATGGCCGGTGTAGGACATCGAATCAGTCACGGGACTTCTCATCAGTCGGATCCATTTTCCAGTGCAATGGGTTCTATATATAGTCTATTGTCCTTTTTCCAAGGGGGTCTTTGGAGGTGTCCCTATTTGTATAAATACACACCCATTTAACTCCATTGGAGCTCGCCATTGACTGAAGGAGCTTGCCTTGGGACCAATCCAGAGTTTTGGCCAGGTTTGGAATTACAGAATTCCCCCTGTTCCAGATTCTGGTTTGATCTCACAACAGCATTTTCCTCCACAATTATAGAGTTTCTTTTTGATTCTCTCCAGAACCTGCAGACCGTCCGATAGCTCTCAGGAAAGAGCTTTTGCCTCCCAGGCGGCGGCGTTTTTGGCTTTCTGGATTAGAGAGATGAACACAGGAAACCCATCCATCCATCCATCCATCCATCCATCCATCCATCCATCCATCCA